AAAAGTATTTAATTTAGTTGTCGAACAATTTTCTATGAATTCGACTATTCAGAGTATCTGCGACAAACATATTTCCATAACTATCAAAACTAAGTGCAGATGGACCATTTAATTGATTAGATGCTGAACCAAATGAAGTAGAACATCCAACTAAACATCGAAAACCATTTGGTCCTTCGCCAACAATACGATTATTTAAACTATCCACAATAAAGAGATAATTATCAGCATCAAGAACCACTCCAGTTGGATTATTGAGTGTAATTGTTGCATTTAAAGATCCACTACCTGCAACAGTTATTCCATTTAATTGTCCTAATCGAAAGAGTTGAATTCGGTTATTATTATAATCTGCCACATACAAATCAAAATTGATATTAACATAGATTCCATAAGGATAATCAAGCATATTCGAGGTGGATCCACTGCATCCTGTACCAGCAATAATTGTTGTTATGTTCGAATTATTATCCAATGATTTTGTAACAACTTCATGACGACTGGACATTGAACAGTAGAGAGTATTATTAATATCAACAAAGAGACCATAACATGCCGCAGTAACATACATTGCAGGAATACTAATATTTGCATTTAATGTCCATTTATCAATTCGACCATTAGATGCTCCATTATCAATATAAATATCACCCTCACTTGTCACGAACAGAGAAAATGGGTATATTAAATTTCCCGAAATTGTTCGTGTTGGATTAATACTATTATTAAACCATATCTGAATTCGACTATTTCGAAAATCAGCTACAAAAATTGTGTTGTTTGTATTAACATAAATGCCATACGGGGATGCACCAACTGCAGTACCATTAGCGAAAGTGCTTGCATTGACACTCCACGACGCATATGCATTGAATTTAGGTTGATTGTATGAAACAACTAAATAAAATAAGATTTTAATATTGAAAATATTTTATTAAATAAAGTTTACCTCTATTTAAAGACGATATTGTAACATTATTTGACTGAGTAGTTAAAATTGATGATATATTCACTAAAATTTTTATTGAATTTATTAAATAAAAGATCGAATTTTGTCTTACCAGGATTTATAGTTGATGTTGAAATTTCATCTAAAAGAAATTCTTTTAATAAATCTTATTTCGATGAGAATTAATTTGAAAAAACAGAACTTGTTTTAATTTCATCAAATGAAAATCTTTTATGGTTTCGAGAGAAATTTTTATTTTATAGAAAGTTTTTTCATTTTATCACACTTACCACATGAATTTGTGAATAAAACAAACTTTTGAATTCGATTATTATAAGTATCTGTGACAAACATATTTCCATAACTGTCAAAATTAAGAGTATACGGGTAATATAATTTACTAGATGCTGAACCCGCAGAGGTAGAGCATCCAGCTAAACATCGAAAACCATTTGGTCCTTCACCAACAATACGGTGATTAAAACTATCCACAATAAAGAGATAACTATCAGCATCAAGAACCACTCCAGTTGGGCGATTCAGTGTAATTGTCGCATTTAAAGATAAGTTACCTGCAACAGTTTTTCCACTTAATTGTCCTAATCGAAAGAGTTGTATTCGGTTATTGTTATAATCTGCCACATAAAGATCAAAATTGACATCAACATAGATTCCCCAAGGAGAATTAAGCATATTCGAGGTGCTCCCAACACTACCTGTACCAGCAACAATCGATAATGCATTCGAAACGGTGTTCAAAGATTTTTTCATAATTTGATGAAGATTATACATTGAACAGTAAAGATTGTTATCAATATCCACGAAAAGATCCGCACATTTTTGACATGTGTACATTGTCGAAACACCAATTGATGAATTCAATGTCCATTTATCAACTCGACCTGTTGAATTATCACTATCGACATAAATATCATCTGTTATTGTAACAAAAAGACTCCATGGATTTGATAAATTACTCGAAATATTTTTTGTTGGTTTAATACTTCCTTCAGACCAGATGATAATATGACCATTATCTCGATTGGGTACATAGACTGTGTTGTTTGTATTAATAAAAATATCGTAAGGTTTCATACCTACTGTACTGCTATTTGCGAAAGTTGTAGCATTCAGATTCCATGACGCATTGTGACAGAATTTTGGACGATTATAAGAAAGAGCTAAATAATAAACAATCTTAAGTTTTGTCCACCGATCTAAGAATTATGCACATATTTCATAATTTTATGTACAAATTTTAGATTTAAAAAGATCTTCAATATTCCTGTTCTCAATAAAACGAAAAACAACTAAGAAAAAAAAATATATTAAATACTGATAATATTGTTGTTTTTGAAAAACAAAACTGATGGATAGAAGTTTATCAACAAAGTTCATTTGAGATTGAAATGTAAAAGAAATAAATATGTTAGATAATAGAAAATGACGTAATGCAATGGCTACATTTCATATATATTGATTTTCTCTGATCTATTAATTTTGCTTCTTTTTTTCCTAAATAAAATGATTTTACAGTGTATCTAAATGTAATTTATTCGATAGGATGTGAGTGCAGATGAGTGAAGCTCTGTTTCTTCTTTACGCTACACCCACACAAACACACTCATATCATAATAAGTAAGTTTTGAAACTATCAATAAAATATTTTATTATTTGATTGTTGTGTTACAGAATGGAATGCCAATTCAATATTTTATTGCAAAATATATGATTTACTTCTCATATATTTATGCTATTTGCTCAACAAATAAAGGGTTCCAATACTAATGAAGATCAATGAATTGATATTTCATTAAATGTGCAAAAGATTTCCAGTTCCGATCTATTTTATACATTTATATTACATATTTCTATGATTTTCATTGTACTGTGATAGATTTCGAACTTGAAGAATCCTACTTTTCTCTTTTTTGGAAGAAAAAATTTTCGAAAGTATTTACCTGATGTTTGCTTAATAATGATGAATAATAGGCATATTTTGAAACGATGAAATAATATCATATTGAACAACGTTATAGACTTGTCTTGAACGTTATTCAACAATAATCATATAAAAGAAGTTAAAATGAAAAATAAAAAATGATTTTATTAATCAATTTATTTGCCTCTCTCCTTCTTCTTCTTACATTTCCGTTTATTTTCTTGTCCTTTTTGAATTATTTTGAACTGCATGACTTAAAAAATAGATAAAGAAACTGGGAAGAAATACAAATATGTTTACTGAGAAAAAATTCTTTTTTGTGTTGTCTGTCTCAATTGTAGTTTAAGAAAAACCGATCAATAATATTATAATACTTAAGATAATACATTATAAATAATCATTAAACAACGATCAATTTGACACAGATATTGATCTTTCTTATTTCCAAAACGTTCATTGATAATATGAGTTACATATCTAATTTATTATTAAGTTCAACAATAAAATAATACTGAGTTTTTATATCTTATAACAAACATTTATCAACATTTCATATTTATTTAAAGTTTTTTTTTTTGAAAACAAAAGAAAAGTTTTATTTAACTTCAACATAAGTAGATAAACATATAATTATTTGTTGATTCAAATTTGTCCGAAAAATACGTACTTGTAACAAATATATGACATTCTATTGTCAATATAATAAGAAATGAAATATATTTTAAGACAAGAATAGTCAGAAATAGAATTATTATATATTTCTTCGACTGCAAAATCATTGATGTCAGTATTAATTATATCAAACTATATGTTTGCATTCATTTTTCTTTCCCTCGATTTTCAAATAAACATTGGCGCAATTTCTTTATTTGTTTAGTCATTTCTTTCTAACTTAAATACGTGTATGTTTTGTATCATTAAATTATCATTCTTTAATTGAAAAGGATTTAGCTGTGAGAGTGTGGGTGACGGTGTGGTTATTACAGTAACCTTACTCTGCTAC